CCCCAAAACCCCAAAACCCCAAAACCCCAAAACCCCTGATTTTTGAAAATTAATTGAATCTGACATTATGAAGAACTTTGAACAATTTTTATATTCTTGGGATCAATGAAGCGTAAAGCAAGGAATTTAGAGCTTCATGAGAAATAAGTCCACATTCAGGAGATGTAATAGCTTAGCTTGGAGATGTGAAAGAACGATAGTTGGAGGCTGTTTGAGAAAACAGAGCTAGTTGACAGTAGAATACTTTGGAAGTACTTTTAGTTTTAAATTGAGTTACTGATTTAGTTAGATTCGTAATTTCCTCAGATGTTTAATATTGATAGCTTTTATTTTAGGCTGATTGCTCCTCAAGAAAATATTAGAATAAAAGAATCTCAGACCTCTGTAAATAATTTTCTTACAAAATCTTGCTTGAATAATATCTTCCTTGTGTATTTAGCTAAAAGTTAACTTCTTTTGAGATAGGGATAAGCATTAGATAAATTAATGAAAAGTTATTTTGCTTAATTAAGCGATGATTAATAAGTACATTCTATACCTCCGTCAGTTTGCTAATGATATGAAGGGTCTTCAGGACTTTTTGATTCATCTTTAATTTTCTCATCAGATTTTCCTTTCTTTTCTCCAAGAAGAGTTCTTCATTGGTCTATGTTTTCAAAATATGAAGTCTCTCTAAGGCCAAGGGGTAAGGAAGATATTAGGGTATTTTTAGGGACCTTCCTTGCAGTTTCTGTCAGCTTCGTGATTGGCTTGAACTTTTTAAATTTGAGGACTATCCATAAGCTCACTCAGGTCATTTGAGGGATACTCAGCTTCTTTTCGAATAGCAAGCGGCTTTTTGTTGGAGGTATTGTTTGTAGTGATTATTACATTGTCATCATCTTCAAGGGAAGACTTGTTAACTATTTCAATTTCTTCGCGAAGTATTTTATGATTCGGTGTTTGATGATCTGTTTCATTACTATCATTTTCATCCCTTTTGCTTAACAATTTTTCAATTCTAGCTTCCAGCTCCATAACATAGTCATTTTGCTCATCAAGTTGGTTCCTTAGTTGCTTATTAATCTGTTCTAATTCACTGTTTTCAGTGTCTCTCTTCTTGATAGATCTCTTTGCATGTCTTAACTCCTTCTTGATAATTGCTGCCTTTTCATTACTCTTCTGGTCTACTATTTGATCAAACCGCGCAATGTCTTGCTTCAAATCAATAAGTTTCTTCTTGTATTTATCCTTTTCCTTGCCTAACTTTACGTATTGAGTTGTTAAAGACTGCAATTGCTCCCTTAGGTCAGAATTCTCACTCTTGTATTGTTTCATTTTTCCTTTGTAATGAGCTATCTCAGGGTTATAGGCTTGGGAGCCTCTTTCTTTATTTAAGCGGGCTGAGTGTTTTTGCATATTCAAATAAAATTATTGATTCAATTTTAAATTTATTGAAAGGGGTTTTGGGGTTTTGGGGTTTTGGGGTTTTGGGGTTTTGGGG